TTTTTTTTTTTTTAAATAATTGTTTTAGTGCTGATATCACTTGCTGGTATTACTGCGCACGGTTATAAAATTAGCACCAGTCGCTGCGCCCCCAATTACTGCGCGGGTATCTCCCATAAGGTTTTCATGCTGAAGCCCAATTGCTGCGCACCAATCACTACGCACGACTACAAATTTAGTTTAGAGTCACTCAGTTGAACAATTATAAATGTCATGATGTAAAGTATGATTTATCTGGATTGATCGTTATTAATGTCCGTACGTGTTACAATATCCAAGCACCCATAATTTTCAGTCTGTTTTTCTTATTTTCAGTTACCGTCGAGTGCGCAGTAATTGGTGCCTGCGCAGTAATTGGGTCATTTACCTCTATTACGGACAGTTGGAAATTGCCAAATGTGTCAAGCTCGAGCTTTTATTCATTTATTCGTGTTATTCGTGTAATGTAATCAGTAAATCACGTAACAAAATATTGTTGTGATAACTTATGAAGTTCACCCTATGAATTGACGGAATTGTAGATCTCTCTTATAGATTTTAATGTAAAGGAATTATAGCTAGGGAATCTGACGCATACGGAAAATTTTTCACTGATGTTTCTAAGAACTCTACGAAGAAAAGCTGAGCTTTTTTCATCATCTTCGCTCGTAAGTGGACAAATTAATTTTTCAATCAACCTGTACCTTCGCGATGTGTGAATGATATCATAAAGTACATTTAAGTACATGACTCTTGTTAACAGTAGCTCCTATGCCAATGGAATTTGTTTGGAGGTCATTGTATATTTTTCAATATCAAATTTTTTAGATTCGTATGTTTGACTCACAGTTGATCGAATTACATCAATTTGTCTTATTTTTAATTGAAACGTGGCTCGGTGGAAATTTAACCAAAAAATGATTCATTGTTTGCTTACATACACTCAAGTCTGGAAGAAAGCTCAGTTCAGCAGAAAAAGCCCTCCTTTCTCCGGAAGCACTACTTGATGGCAAAATTCGATCAGCATGCGTTGAGAGATTACAGAATGCTCAAGTGTTCAAGCCAAGCAAGAATAGTGCTATTAAATCAGCAGCTGTCCTGGTTCCTTTGTGCATACATAATGGGAAATTGGGACTCTTGTATACTTTGCGATCAACTAAAGTGAGCATGAATCGTGGACAGGTATCTTTTCCAGGTGGTATGAAGGACAAAAATGATGCAACTCTAGAGGATACAGCTCTGAGAGAAACAGAAGAGGAGTTGAATATAGCTAGGAGTGACATTGAAATTTGGGGTAGTGGAAATTTGATTGTAAGAAAGGAGATGGCTGTTCTGCCAGTATTAGGTTTTATTGGTAGAGTTGAGCCCAAGAGTCTGAAAGTAAATACAAATGAGGTTGAGAAAGCTTTTGTTCAGCCACTGGAGAAATTATGTGATCTAGCTCTTTGTCGTTATACACAGTTTAGGAATAATTACACAATGCCAGTTTATTTAGTGGACAATTACAAAATTTGGGGCTTGACTGCAGCAATCACTCACATTGTCATGCAGGCTCTTGTGCCCAAAGTTTACAAACATAACATTATACGATTAAATCTTGTATCAAGAGAGGAAAATCAATAAGAGAGATCCAAGACATCTTGATTTCTTTTATGTGTTCTTTAATCTAAATGTCCATTGACAAAGGAAAAAAATTTTTAGTCTCATTTTGATTGACAATAGAGAACCGAATATCATGTAACATATACGTATGTGTATATATATGTATATATTTATATAACATTTCTTTGGTAAGCTTATAATTTGTTTTCTAAGCTATCCTGTCTTTCATACTGATGGACAGTATGGATTGTGATTTTTTTATACTAACGGATATCGCCGTTTTAAATTCCACTCAGGTGACTTATAATTTTTATACGGGAGAGAAAAAAAGTTTTTTAATTATTTTATTTAGGTGTATAGAATAATGGATCCATAACATGTAAATTAGAATGTAATATTGATTTTTAATAAAGTTTGTAAAAAAAATGTAAAAAAACTTGTTCCAGTTTATTATTGTTATTTTATATTTATATGTCTGGGTCTGGAATTAAGCTTCTTTTGCGTAGCTCTCATTTTTTGTTCCAGCAGTAGTTTTTTCACAGAGAAGAAAAAAAATGTTACTTGATTGGAAAACTCAAGCAACCCACTCAGTTGGCACGGTGAGTGTCTTTTGGTTTATAATACTAGTATATGTTTCACATGTTTTTATTAATTTTTTTTTTTCAACGAGGTATTAATTTACCGTTTCTGGTCAGATATTTAATAAATTAATAGTGACCTTGTATCATCAAGTGATCATCTGTTGTTCTGTCAGGAATTGGTGGTGCTGTATTTTTCATTTATTTAACAACTGAATACCTACACTGCTTTACGATAATAGAAGGAGTGTAAATCATCGATCAATTATTTTCCTAACTAAAATAAAACAGAAGAGAATTTTCATTTACAAAAATATTATAATAGTTCGTCTCATCAACTCGCGTGGAATCCTAATTAATCTTAAGTTACTGAGGGTGGCCACAATCTAAAAATTATGCTTAATACTTAAAGATGAGTCATACTATAAATGCACAGTTGAATAATAAATAGATAGTTTTTTATTGCAATATATTCGTTTATACTTAATATTACCAAAATTCCTATATAAACGTAATTACCTGAAATGAAAAATGTGAGGAAGGTGAATATGAGCCTTCGAATGATCAATAACTTGATGCTATGGTGAATTGCTGTTTCTTGACGAATTGTTTCTCAATTCTCACCATCGTTGGAGAAGTATTTTTCATTTAACATGTAAAAGAAACGAGATACTCGATTGAATCACTACAAAATGATATTTGACTCAATTATCTACGTGTATACTATAAATCTACAAAGTATCAAATTTGCGGTCTGAGTTGATTTTGAACCCCAAGTTTTTAACGATAAATTTTAATTACATCTTTGTGATAGAATAAAACTCAATGTTAAGGTGACTATATTTAGTAACACAAGTTGTGAGCAAATCGTTAAATCATCAAATATTATAACTACCAAATGTTTGTTGAAATACGTACTTTACTTATAAAAAGTTGCAGCATCTCAGCCCATGTAGCTTTCAAGTTCCAGCTTTTTAACAAGAAAATATATTTTTAGGCTTGAGAATAAATCGGATTATGTAATGTTAATTAAGTCATTTTACCAGGTACTGACTTTCATGAACTTTAATTACAGAATTCAAAACGTCTATATTTATTATTCCAAAGGTTTACAATCAACAAATTTTATGTACAAAATACTGCATAAATTCTTGTCGCACTTCACTACCTAGAGGTTCCATGGCCTTATTATTCTGTTTTAAATTATTAATTTTGGATGCTGATGAAGGCTCTTCTCTTTCAGATTCGATTATATTACATTTTTCTATGATTATATTATGCAACAAACACGCGCATTTAACGATATTGTTTACAAATTTAGGCGATTGCTCTATAGTTTTGTTGAAAATGGAAAATTTATTGGCCAATTGACCGAAGGCACACTCTACAACCATTCTTGCAGCAGATAGTTTCTTATGAAAAATTATCTTTTCTCTTGGTAAATTATGACCAGGGTAGGGCTTGATTATATGTTTTATCAGTGGGTATGCACCATCAGCGATGAACACAAATGGCAAAATAACTGTCGATCCAGGTAGCTCTGTATCTTCGGGTATTTTTAACTTTTTAGATTTTAATCCCTTGTACAGGCTAGATGCTCTAAAAGTGGAACTGTCATGCTACTGTCCATAGCCTCCAACATCTATAATTATGAATTTGTAATCTGCGTCCACTACGGCTTGCAGAACGACTGAGTAAAACTTTTTGTAGTTATAATATACAGAACCAGAATGTGGCGGACATTTTATTCAGATGTGCTTTGCGTCCAGTGCTCCCAAACAGTGTGAAAAACTTCATTCTTGGTAAAACTGTTCAGCAATTTGAATAAACTGTGTTTTTGTTGGTATTGGCATGTGGATTGGACACAAGACATTCCAAATGCTGTCCATTGTTTCTCGGACAATATTGCTTATTGTTGAAGCCCCTATTCAGAATGCTAAAGACAGTGACTTGTAAGAGGCTCCTGTTATCAAAAACCTTAAAAAAAACATGTATATTTTTGGGATTTAATCTGCGTGTTTATTTCAATAGAACGTAAATTAATTGCTTTACCGTAATGTTATAACAAGTTTTTCTTCTGGTAAAATAGGCTGAGTGTGAAAATTACACCTGTTACGTGAGCATTCTCTTTCTATGCTCAAGCGGATGTAATCGAAACAGCTTTTTGACATTCGCAAATAGTCAAAAAATCGACCCGTATGCTTTTTTAAAAGAGGAAATAAGTGATGGTACTTTCCGAAATCCCTTCTACCTTGATTAATTTCATGAAGTGCCAATAATGAAGCATCATTTGAAAGATCCATGTCTGGTTTTAAAAATATAAAACTGTTTGACATAGAATATTAGACAAATAATAAGAAGTGACCCATTAAACGATATTATTTTCAAATATTACAAAAAATGTCTGTGCTAAATATCTATCTAACCTATAATAAACGAAGCTTGCCCAAAGCCCACTCCTGTAGGATGCAAAATAGTGCTCGGATCAATCAGATTGGCAAACTAGTTCTGCAAACAGGTATCACAAAAATGTTTACTAGGTCGATTTCTTAAGAAACGTCCATACCCGACATGGTAGAGCAGGATGAGAACAACAGTTGAAGTCAGCAGAGCTGGTGACGCAGCGCAGACAACAATGTCAACAAAACTAATAGAGCCAGCGACAGCATCATATCCAATACAAGCAGACAAACGTCAAAAGCCGCAGGACGGACAAAAAAAGCAGAGCTGGTAAAGTGCGTTTGCAGATAACAGCAATACAGCAGTGACGTACGGCCAGCAGGGCAAAGTGACTTGAATGGTTTTTTCAAAAGACGCTAACCCTTCCAAAACTGACAATAAAAACTTCTTGAAAGCTCAATCAAATGTACACGTATGTACGTCTCTAGCACAGAGAAGGCAGCAAAAAGTAGTGTGAGACAAGCTGCGATATCACTGAGTATCGCGAGTAAGCATGAGGCCGTACGAGGAAACGTGAGGTAGCACGGGGCAGTACGAGATACAGCACGATATATTACCAAGTCCACTTGAATCCTAGAATGCACGAAGGAATCGCCAGGTGTGCGCGAGTGCTCGAGAAGATACGAGGGAACTGCCTAACATGTGCGAGTGCACACGAGAAAGCGTGCGAGTCGCGGCGTATCTCGAGGCATACGCGAGTGCGAGAGGGATGACTGGATGACTTGGATGAGCACGCAAGTCGCAGCGAATTGCGAGGTAGTACTAAGCAGCGCGAGAGGGCGCGAGGTATTGGCCTGTAGGCCCTATAGGCAAATATAGTATAGGGTCAGTTAGAAGATCGAATATTATAGTTCATTTAAGTCGGGCTTGGTCCATAGAGATATAAGAATAAAGAGCGCTAAACCCACATAACCCTGTCCGTCGAAGTTTTTCATTAGTGCTAGAGAGACTGGTGCAAAGATTGTCGGTGTGTCTCTTTCCAATCACAGGGGTTAGATAGAGACACACAAGAAATTTTTACAGCGTTCTCTCTCACAGCTTAGTACAGGGTTGTGGGGGGTTAAGCGCACTTTATTCTTATATCTGTATGGCTTGGTCTCGAGCCTCGGCTAACATCTTGAGAGCCTCTACATGTTTGGATAGTCGGGATGGACATTAGAGGACACGCTAAAATGCTGTCGTCGTGACCTGCGTCTACGCTTATACCTGTCATAATCACCAGTCTCAACCACTCATCCTACACAAGTCTACCACCATCCAAGCCATCGTGCAAAAAATTTGCCACCTTCTAGGTGCTCAATAAAACAAGGGAGACCATGGTGTAAGATATACATGTCGTGTGGTCCCATTGTCTTTATAACTTACAGTAAATTTTTTTAAACATTTTGTGTCATTTTCCCTTTCTCGCACCAGATGTTGCATAGGAAAAAAACACTGAGCAGACAAGCACCTTAACTCTTGAGTGAGTTAACATTTTGGAAGAGAAAAGAATTCATAAATGTAATTGTTAAGTTATATTAAAGCTCGTATTGATTGATTTGAATATAAATTAATTAAAATATTCAAAAAGTTTTGTGTAGAAGACTATAAACGTGGCTCAACATTATTTAGTGCACCAAAAAAGGACAAAAGTCTGTGTTTATCATGAAACAAGGTTGTTTAAGTGACTTGTGACGTGAATAAATTTTTTTTCAAGCAAACGACACACTTTTACTTTCGCTAGTATTTTCACCAACACTGGTAGTATAACTATTTATGGTGGTGCTCTCCAATACTGGTAGTATAGCTATATATGGTATTTGACTCTTAATCGCCATATGCTGGGTTTTAAATCAAATATCACAAATACTTTACAAAAATAATGCCTACCCCGAGTTGAAATTGAAAGTGGGCAGCCCCCAGCTAATACGCATGGTCCAAATCAAGCCACCAAGCATGGCCGCAGGTGGGTTTATAATACGGCGCTGACTTTGGCGCAGCTTGGCCTGACTTGGCACGACTTTCACCCAGTAACTGCCAACTTTTTTGTGCACTGATATGAGTTATATATAAGCATGCAAGTTTGTATTTATACATATTCATGTGTGTCTACGCACGCGTATGTCATCCTACTTGTATACTTATATATGGACGTTTC